GGTATCCGGCTAATAGATGTTGAGTATCTTGCGTAGACAACTATTTATAAATACTTGCACCTTCATGATGATGATTGTATTAGTTCTCCAAGTTTCAACTCCATACAGTACAACTGACTGTCTTGACGTTCGTATTGAAGATTGTGACTCTGATATTGGTTGAAAGTTGTTTTGAGTTCCATATGTTCTTCAATTGTAGGAATGCGGCCCTTGCTATGCCAATCCTTGCCTTTACGTCTGCATCCGATCCTCCTTGTTCAAGTTTAAACCACAGTGTTCGATTATCTGATTACTCCATTTTCTTTAAACTATAAAGCAAATAATCATGATCTTCAAAAGAAGACCAATGATCTTTAAGCTAATAAAACGTTTAATGAATTTCTTGAACATTTTAATATTAAGTAGATTATATATCATTCTGTAGTGAATGAAAGCAATGAGGTCAAGCAAATATGTTTTAATATAACATTCCAGAATATCTCGGTAAAATCTGAGAACTATACAGTATATACTTTATTTGCAAAATATCCATCAATTGTCTCAGACTTTGTTGTTCCTTCTCGTTTTTTTTCCTCAATTTTCTCAAATTTTTGCCTCAAGGCATTCTACTTTTAATTGGTAGCACATACTACTTATATTTGTCAACATCAGTAGCATACACTATAACTGATTAACGAGAAATGAACTTCACAATGAAAATTTTTACATTGAATAACATTCATTTTTTCAGATCAAATTATACTTATGAACAAAAATATTTTTGACCAAAGATGGATAGTGGCTAGCAATGGTATCCAGGATATGCAATTCGTCCTGTTTAGGACTCGTCAGCTGGATGTATCTACACCTCAGAGTTAATGTTCATTCAGGGACTCAAACCTGCTACCGTTCACCAAGTGAAAAATATTTTTATGTATAAATTTCCATCAGTCAAAATTTAAAAATCAACTAACAGATACAAATCTAGAATCAGTCAATATGCATAAGGATGACAATAAGCAATAATAATACTTAATCATAAATTTCACAACTAATAAACTATACATTGTTCCATTTAGCTCATTGATTAAGTGACGTTGTTAAAAATAATGAAGATTTTGAAGAATAGGCTCAGTAAACTAAAAAAGAATATTTTCTATTCCATATTTTAAATAGAACAATTCGGTCACCATGTCAACGTCACATTAGGATAAAGGTTACAGTTGTTGCATGTTGTATATATATATATGCTTATGCAATAATCAAATGGAAATGAGTTGGAAACAAGCAGGACAGAGACGAAATAGTTAATAATAATAATAATGCATACGAAATGTATGGTTTTTGCTAAACTAGTTCAAATTACATTTTAGTCACATAACAACAAAATGTCAACTAGATTCCATGTTACTACAGCCAATAATAATAATAATAGTGATGGTAACAGTAATAATAATAATGATCTAACATGGAAAGATTTGAAAATAATGAATATGATTATACTAAATCATACACTTAAACACATGTAATTTGATTCTTTTGTGCTACTCTGTTGTTTGTTTGTTTTTTGTTGTTTATTCTTGTGCGTGTATGACTATAATGGTTGTCATGGTGAAGACCAGAGTACCTGTAGTAGTAAATGCTTACACTTCATACTTCATTCAGTGTTTTAACTTTAAACTTGATGATTAAGTTCTAAATTTTTATAACTAGTAGTCAATTGTTATGACTAGGTCGCCAATTATTATGTATGGTCGTTGCTAATCGTAATGTCAGAATCGTTTATCACAGTGATTCTTATTACGTGAAGTAAACACATCACGACTAGTGTAAATGAAAATTTCATAATTCCAAAACACGACGACGACCCTAGTCGAAAATACACTCATCTGTATATTGAATTGTACACTCATTTCGATTATTCATTAGAATGAGATCATGTATATGAAGAATATCCAGACTTATAACAAAATCACACACCACATGTCATACTGAGCATAGTCCATGTTCATTCAACAATACATGAATGATGTATCTTGAATAAAACATCACATTCAAATCAATTAATGTTATATTGAATAAAATATGAATACAGGCAAATCAAAACAAATTTCACTCTGAATAATCATTATATTGAAATAGAAAATGGAAGTACTATTGAATATGAATGATAATGAGTAAAAGAATGTAATTTTGCTTTTTCATCCCATTATATCATAAATGAATACATTAATCAAATAGGACCTCATTAAAGACATAACCCAGTATATTCAGGCCTGATGTATGATTAACCATCAGACTACTGAATTGACATTCGATAGTTTACATATCGATCTAGTGAATCGGCATTATTCATTGTGATTAGTGATAAATGTCTCATGTCAAACATGGTTGAACTTCATTGATCAACATCTCTCTAGAATTCTGGGAGTGATTTCTAAAAGTTAATCATTAGATAATAGCTATTACAAGATAATGTTGAAATAGATAACTTTGAAGTTTTACATCATTATTATTATTATTATTATTATTATTATTATTATTATTATTATTATTATTATTATTATTATTAGCTTCATTCAATATTATAATTTTGGTACAATATAGAATTCTCAGCGCAAAGTATTTCAACAAGTTTCCGTTTCTTTCTTCTTGGTCGGTCCTGGCGATAAATATTGAGGAATCGCCAGTTAGATGTTAGCACTTCAGTGAATGAACAACTGAATAATGTACATTCTTTTCGTTGTACATTGCCAGCAACCATATTGTCTCTTATTGAGTTTTCTGTAACTTTGACAACGAAAGGTTGTACACTTTTCAGAAACGCAGCAGAATAGGTTATGCGATTAATAAACATAATGATATATTAAAACAAACAACAATAGATAACTTGTTGAAATATCTAGATGGCAGGAACAGGTAGCCCAGATGCTCAAGCAGGCCGCCCTTACAATACTACTGATTTTAGCTAGTTACATAGTTCTTTGAGTTATTTTTTCACCACTACTGAACTTGATTGGTTTCTTAACATACTCTTATATCATTTCATATAATTCAACATTATTCCAAAACAGTTAGTTAACTTTAAAAGTAAGTAGTATGTTTAATCAGCTATTTCAAGTAACAGATAAACAACAACTGAAAAGTTGTCCCAACGAAAACTGTTTTAGAATATTTAAGGAAGATTTTAGTGAATGTATATTATATCTATTATATCTAGAGCTTAGATTCTTAATATACCGCGTATAACTTGAGCACTCGAACGCTAGAACCCTCCAAGTAGCAAATGAGAAGACAGAAGACAAGTGAACGGAATGCTATTCCAAAGCAATTTCATTTATGGTATAAAACTGTCAGGCATTTGTAATTTTTAGTAAAAAAGAAATCATCATTATAGTCATCCAATCCGCATACAGGAGGTTATTAGCATTTGTCTAATAGGGAAGCTACACGTAGGGATTCTGTAATATTCTTCCAAAAGATGATTGGATGGAATATCTTCAGCTCTTTCTGAGCTTCTTTGAGCTTCCTTGAGTTCATACGTGAACCGTCCTCACAATATCATATGAAAGTTACTGTCTTTATTATCCGTAACCTTTAATTTCTACTATTAATGTTTTCTTAATTTTAATTCTTAATAAATGTAAGTTTATTATACATGTTATATACTACTGAATGATATATAGTCGAAAATCATTAAATAAACACAATAGGATTTGTCTCATCATCAATAATATGGTTGTTGAAATCGACAGTAATTATTTAGCTTTTCCTTAAAAATGAAGAAGAAACACATGTGTAAATGAAGTCATATTGTGAGACTTGAATTCGACTGATGATATAAGAGAATAAGATTTTCGTTAAAAATCTGATAGTACTAAGTATTATAAAAAAAGTAGGTTTTATTTTAAAGCTTGACATAAATAGTTGGCTCAATTATTAACTAATACTTATTTGACTCTATTTATGAATGAACTTTACAAAGTCTGAAATCAACTAAGTGAAAACGTCTTTGACTAATCTCAGTTTAATTCATTGATGTAGCAGCTATCTGATCATAATTACATGTTACTTATAGACGGACACTAGTAGTTGGTCTTTTTAAGGAAGGACTGGTTAGTATCTTAAGAAACTGTAGGATTCAGATAGGTGTCACTCAATCTCACATTATGAGATGTTACCACTAAGTTATTCAGTATACAACTGACCCTCTGAAAGGCTAAGACAAGTTATTTAGACTAATGGTCACATTGCAACTTGAACGATATAATTCAATCAATAATATAAAACTGGCAAACAAAATATTGATGTAAATATCTCAGGTCCACAGAAGATAAATCTCTGATTGAAAAGATCAGGGCTAATATCTCGGAGCATGGAGCTGAGTGACATGATATGGGAGGGGTCGATTTCCTCAAAATCGTAAAAACTCCACGTTGACGAGTACTAACTCGTACAAAACCGCCTATCATCAAACTTAGGTTTTCCAAGACATAATTATTCAATGGTGACAACTTAGTAGAAGAACTATTCAAACAATAGTTACATCACTTGGTACTGTTTACTTGAATCTTCCCATTAATATTTAGGACTACAATTGATCAGTCTCTTATTGGCGTATGTGCATCCTGTGCTGATTGCCTCGATATTGCCTTAATTCACAAGCATTATAAGCATTACCAAGTGAATTTAAATTTCACCCCATTGCACAAACAAGTGACTATCAGGATTCAGTGGTTAAGTGGATAACGCGATGGTGTTTGAAGTGAACGTTACTGGATTCGAGTCCCAGAGTGAGTATCAACCCTGAGATGCAGGTACAATCAGTTGATGATTCCCACGTAGGACGAAACGTGATTCCACTGGATTCCACTACTAGCCACTACCCATCTTTGCTTATAACAGTTACATCATTTTTGTTTCTGGAAGAATGTATTTTTAATTGAAATCCATCACAAATAAATAATAAAAATATAAATAAACATTCATTCAGTTGTATTTTCTATTCAACTTTATTTTAGATTTAAATAAACGTTTTATAAAACATCCAGAGTCAACAAGAATACCACTTGGTTGGACTGTGGAATTCACATGTGAACCACCAGATGGGAGACCAATACCAAAGGTATTTTATCTTATTAAACGTAAATAAATTGTAATTAGTATGTTGTGTAATTAAAAAAGATTACATGAAATTATATTGGGATTTCTACCCTTCGTGTATAACCGTTAAATTGAATACTTAAGTAAATCAACTGTTAAGGAGAATGACAGAAAGTTAATAATCATCCTCATTATAAGTTTATATTGATAATACAATATTTGAGAAGTAGAAAATGATTAGGAAATAATGGAACTATGCACTTAAGATTTCATGTTACTTAGTTTAGTATCAACGATAATCACGGTAGACCGGATGCAGATGTGAAGGTGCGGATCGGCAAAGCAAGAACAGCATATCTACAATTGAAGAACGTCTGGAACTCAAAACAACTGGCAATCAACACCAAAGTCACAATTTTCAATACAAATGTTAAGACAGCTCTACTGTATGGGGTGGAGAGAAGATACAAACAGTTTTCCAAACAAAATACTTTGTATCCGTTGGCCGGACATTATCAGTAACAACCTACTGTGGAAGCGAACAAACCAGATTCCAGCGGAGGAAGAAGTGGATACGATACACATTGAGGAAAGCACCCAACTGCGTCACAAGTCAAGCTCTCGCCTGGAACTCTCAAGGACAAAGGAGAAGAGGAAGACTAAAGAATACATTACGTCGAGAACTGGAAACAGACATGGGTATAATGAACAAGAATTGGATAGAATTAGAAAGAAGGCCCAGGACAAAGTGAGTTATAGAATGCCGGTCGGCGGCCTATGCTCCATTGGGAGTAACAGACGTAAGTAAGTAAGTAGTGTAAACTATTAATTGTCTTCAACAACAAACAAAATATTTTAGGCAGAGATAGTGTTGTGTTGGAGAGCGCTGGTGGGCGGCATATGCTCCTACAAGATGAGTAATAGGATTAAGTGAGTAAGTGTTGTGTCTTGTTATTGGGGTTCGTAATAGGGATGTTCAACCGTTTTCGTTCCTAACTCCGTAAGATCGTAGACCGTATTGAACACCAATAACGAGACACAGCAGGTAGATGGCGGCTAGCAGTGGAATCCAGGACGCATGTTTTAATCCATCCGGAACTCGTCAGTTGGATGTGCCAACCATATACCAGAGTTGATGTTCACTTCGTGACCTAAACCTCGTACTGTTTGCTTTAAAAGCCACCAGGTTACCCATTTAGCTACTGAGTCCAAACAGCCACTGACGAAATGTGTATTCTGGATTCCATCCCACTCTGCTTATAATCCCTGTGGCTGAAAGCCAATATCGATGCAATCCTCACAGGATGTGCATATGCCAATAAGAACCTGATCAATTGCAGCACCAAGCATCAATGAGAAGGTTCAAGTAAACAAAACCAAGCGAATTCTGGTGATATTGTCCAGAATAACAATTAAGGCTCAACAAGTAAATCATCTAGATCAAAGCACTAAAAAAACAATAAAAATATTCAAATAACTTAATATATAATCATTTCTTTTCCTGTATTGATACAATCCTCTTTTAACTGCAGTTTAGTCAGGAAAATAAAACAAGAAACTACACTTTCGATAGAACAATGAGAAGATGGAGTTGATCTGAAAAATGTGATGTATAGCGCAAATACATCACATTTTTCAGATCAACTCCGTCTTCTCATTGTTCTATCGAAATTTATAAAAGGGACTAATTGCTTTAAACTACACTTTGTCAACATCAATCCATTTCTTAAATATAATCCTCTATAAATGTTTCTCTTAATGACCATTTATTACTCATTTGAGCAATATAATTATATCCTTTAAAATTTTACATAAATTGGTACATGTTTCCCGACATTTGGTTATCAGTGGGATCATTTCCTCATATCATTATGAGCTACTTAACTTTTGTAAGTAGTGTGATAATTTTCCATAAATTAATTGTTTATTAACCTTGGTGTGATTACTCATTATTGTTCAAATGGTCACTATTGATAATCTTGAAAGAATGTTTATGTTAAACAAATTAAACTTTTCTCTTGAAATCTAGGTCTATTGGATGAAAAATGGACGTAAACTTGAAGTGAATCATTTCCAAGATCCAATGTCGAAATCTTTAAAACAGACAAATAATAATCCTAATTATCAAATCATAAACCATGATTTAAATGTTAATTATTCTGGATTAATTAGTCGTTTAATTATACGTCATACACATTTGAATGATGAAGGTGTTTATACATGTGTAGTTGAAAATCAAGCTGGACGACGTATTTCATCGAATGCACAACTTACAATACATAGTTAGTTACATCAGTAAATATTTTTAAAAGACATAACGTTAATGATTTTATTTATTTATTTAAACATATAAACATTGGTACAAGGAGGCACCTAATATATATGCGCCACACAAATCATTTGATTTATGTGGGGGTTGAGGTACTGTCTTGGTGCCTAAGACAAAACAGGTGGTTTTCCTATCAGGCTACACCTGGAGCCTTCGACTTAAAGGTCTGATCAACAAGACAGTGTAGCATCGTAAGGAGATGCAGTCTCATGATAGTCGGTGACCAACGATTGGTTTATACGCCATTTGTTCCATCAGGATACTGGAGCCCATGTGCATCATTGGTTTGGATTCAGGGTTTTCCAACTCCTCTTGATGGATCCTACATATCCACCAACCCTGGTAAATCGCCGGACATTTGCTTTTCGTCCTCTCATTTTCGTAAACAACACCTGTGGTGTGAGAAGGTAGTGGGTAGGACTTTCCTGGCTGTGGCTGTATCCACGTGGCTATGTGAGAGCGTTTCGTGAGGGAGAGCTGACTCTCCCCACTCTTGGCCGAACCAGGACTGTACAGTATAATCTCATTTAGCATTTAAAGTGTAGTAGTATAATATATATCAAAAGAGATTTGTGAAGAAGGCTCAATTTAAAGATAGTTTGCATTACGAAATGACTTTAGATAGATGATCACTGAATACTCGAAAGAAATGGGCTGTTTTTTGTCCATTTAGTATGAGACGGTGAGTCCGGGAAGAGTATTTCGGCCTATTTGAGACTCGTCAGCTAGATGTATGTTCTATATCCCAATGTTGATAATTACATTCGTAATGGACTCCACTGTTAGCTACAATCCATTTATTTATAAAAATTGTGATAATCCGGACAGGAAAATACACAGGCAGACAAAAACTGATCGAGAATTCATTATTGAATATCGACAGTAGGATAATTCAAATCCGTACTGATAACGATATAAACTCTGTTATACTTTTTCGCATTTTTATTCTTCTCTTAGCTGATGGACATTGGTCAACCTGGTCATCATGGTCAAATTGTCCAAATGATTGTGTAATATCACAGCTTAACTCTACAATGTCACAATTATCTAATCACAGTAAAATTTCAGAATATAATAATAAATTGATTTGTTCTACACAATGTCGTCAATCGTTTGGTCAACGTACAAGATGGTGTAATGCTCCAGAACCACATGGAGGTGGGAGAAAATGTCATGGTGAAAATACTGAACATCTATCTTGTTACGATATTTGTTTAGGTAAGAAATTTTTCTGTATGAAAACACATTCGCTAATGATTCTCACATAATTTCATAAAACTTGTGTAGTTTTTTCTTTCGTTAAACCTTTTATTGATCTAAATATTATATTTTAGTTCTATAGTGAAATGTAATTTATTTTTAAGAGGTTTTTTAGGAGGTTTGGTTTAATTTGTAAGTTTGATTTATCATAGACTGATCCCAATAGAGGTATGATCGAAAACCAGCAAACACTAAGCAGCTTACTTACTTACTTACTTACGCCTGTTACTCCCAACGGAGCATAGGCCCACCGACCAGCATTCTCCAACCCACTCTGTCCTGGGCCTTCTTTTCTAGTTCCATCCTATTCTTGTTCATTTTTCTCATGTCTATTTCCATTTCCCGGCGTAATGTGTTCTTTGGTCTTCCTCTTTTTCTTTGGCCTTCAGGTTTCCGTGTGAGTGCTTGTCTTGTGACGCAGTTGGGTGCTTTCCTCAATGTGTGTCCTATCCACTTCCAGCACTACTTCCTAATTTCTTCCTCTGTTGGGATCTAGTTTGTTCTTTCCCATAGTAGGTTGTTGCTGATAGTGTCTGGCCAACGAATCCGAAGTATTTTGCGTAGACAGCTGTTAATAAACACTTGTATCTTCTGGATGAAGGCTGTTGTAGTTCTCCAGGTTTCCGCCCTATACAGTAGAACCGTCTTGACATTTGTATTGAAAATCCTGACCTTGGTGTTGGTTGACAGTTGCTTTGAGTTCCAGATGTCCTTCAATTGTAAATACACTGCTCTTGCTTTACTGATGTGCGCTTTCATATCTGCATCAGATCCACCATGTCCATCAATGATGCTGCCCAAATACGTAAAGGTTTTTACATCTTCCAAATCTTCTCCGTCAATTGTGATTGGATAGGTTCATGGTGTGTTGTATCGGAGAATCCCCCGAATGCCCTGGTACGGCCGAGAGTGGGGAGAGTCCGCTCTCCCTCTCGAAATACTCTCACACGGCCGCGCGTATACAGCCTCTGCCAGGGAAGTCCTACTCATTGCCTTCTCGTGGCGGGGGTGTTGTTTACGAAAATGAGAGGACGAAAAGCGAATGTCCGGCGCTTTAACCGGATTCCAAATCAATGGTGCACATGGGCTCCAGTATCCTGCGGGAACAAATGGCGTATGAACCAATCGTTGGTCACCGGCTACCATGGGACTGCATCTCCTTACGATGCTCCACTGCCTTGTGGGTTTGACCTTTAGGTCAAAGGCTCGGGGAGTGGCCCCCTAAGATAACCACCTGCTTCGGTTTGGGCACCAGGGCAGTATCACAGCCCACACACAAATGATGAACTCTTTATGTCTATGGAAACTACTTTTGTCGCTTTGAAAAACAGTCAATTGATTCAAATTATGATCACTTCAATTATTGTCATTATTAATACTAATATTATTATTACTACTATTATTGTCATTATTGTTATTATTATCATTATTATTATTATTATTAGTATTAGTATTTTCCACATTATTCGCCCTCTTTTATACTTATACAGAGGCTCGTCTTTGGTGGAAATTCGACTGTATCTAAACGTTCTCGAGTCACTGTCCGGTTGAAAATTGTATGTTACCACCGAATACGAGAACTGAAGCAGTTTTTCTGAAACCACGTGCACCATTCAAACTGGCTGCCTTCAACGTTCGCACATTTATGCAGGTCGGACAACAGATAGGGCTGGCTATGTCTTTGGAAAGTCTTAATATTGATGTTTGTTGTCTATCCGAGACCCGTATTCAAGACTCTGGCGAAGTACTACAAATTCGATCTCCATCTGTCGCTTCGAAAAGCTTGTTTTACGTGCGCTTATCCGGGAACCCTGTGGCATCTTCGTCCGGTCTTGCTGGCGTTGGTGTCGCACTAAGCGCTAGAGCTGAGGCAGCACTAGTCGATTGGATCCCCATTAACAGTCGGTTATGTGCTGTTAGATTGGAAAGTTCCATCAAAGTGAGAAACGATGTCTTTTCGTCATCTCCGCCTATGCCCCGACAGATTGCAGCCCGGATGCAATCAAGGATGAGTTTTACCACCAATTATCTGTTCTTCTCCAGAAAGTGCGTTCGACAGATATTGTAGTACTAGCCGGAGACTTGAATGCTCAGGTCGGGTGTCTAGGCACAGAAGAGAGTCGTTCAGGTGGCCGATGGGGACTCGTTGGTCGCAGGTCAGATAACGGGGACCGTCTACTGCAACTCTGCACAGACCATAACCTGTTTCTGGCTAGCACTAACTTTCGGCACGGTCATCGCCGATGTGCCACCTGGCGTCCTCCCTCTGCATCCCAAGCCTGAACTCAGATTGATCACATCGCGATCAGCTACCGCTGGCGTGGTTGTGTACAAGACTGCCGCTCCTTTTGGAGTACCTATCTGGACTCTGACCATGCCTTGGTCTGCGCCAATCTTGCCTTACTTTTCAGTGGACAACGAAGTGACCGCCATCAACGGATTGATATTAGCAAGCTGGTTGCAACTTCTGTTGCAAGTAAGTATCGAACTGAGCTAGCCTCTAGGCTAGCTACCACTCCACCGAAAAGTATAGATGAGCATTGGTTGCAATTGCATGACGCCATGAAAATGGCGGGAACAGTCAGTTGTGGGTTTGCGAAACGTCCCGCTTTTAAGCACTGGGTTTCTGCAGGTTCCTTACAACTCATTGAAGCCCGTCGGTCTACTCCGGCTGACCGTGAGTTTGACTATAAACGAAGGATGTTACGTAAGGAAATTGGTCAAAGCTTGCGTAAGGACCGAGAAGCCTTGTGGTCGATGCGTGCTAATGAGCTGGAAGCAGCAGCTGCATCTGGTAATTACCGGAGGCTCTTCCAACTCATCCGAGCCACTGGCAGCAAGAAGTCTGGTGTGAGTGAAACAATCTGCCAGGATGATGGGATGCCAATCACTAACATCCATCGACGTCTTGGACGATGGGCAGAATTCTTCGAAGGGCAGTTCAACTGGCCTGCTGCTCCGGCAACATCGGTCAGACTGTCCTGTCCTCCATGGCCGGTGACGACTGATTCACCAACCGAGGAGGAAGTCCGCAAGGAACTCCAACTCTTGAAGCGTTACAAATCACCTGGCCCAGATGACTTACTTCCGGCTCTTTTTAAAGATGGTGGTGACTTTTTGACTAAGGAATTGACGACGTTGTTTTCAAAGGTTTGGGAACTAGAGAGTGTACCAACGTCATGGAATGAGTCGATAGTTGTCTCTATCTTTAAAAAGGGTTCACGTCGTTCCTGTAACAACTATCGGGGGATAAGTCTACTTCCGATTGCGTCCAAGCTATTGGCTTCCGTCATTCTTCGTAGGTTGTTCAAAACCCGAGAAAGATTGACTCGCGAGGAGCAGGTTGGGTTTCGTTCTGGTCGAGGATGTATTGATCATATCTCCACCCTCTGCCAAATGTTAGAACACCGCCATACTTATCAAAGGCCAACAATCGTAGTGTTTCTTGACATCAGGGCTGCCTTCGATTCGTTGGACAGGACTGTTCTCTGGAGTTGTCTATTGAAGAAGGGTGTGCCTGAGAAGTTTATTAACATCCTAAAAGCCCTATATAAAAACACCTCAGGCAGAGTGAGGGCATACAACCACCTCTCTCCATTGTTCCTTTCGAGCAGTGGGGTTAGGCAGGGTTGCCCAATCTCACCATTCCTCTTCAACTTTGCCATCGATGACATTCTGCAAACAGCTCTGATGAATGTAAGTAATGGTGGTGTGGATCTGTTGCCTGGAGAAAGACTTCTCGACCTTGAGTATGCGGACGATATTGTCTTACTGTGCGATAATGCCCAAGGCATGCAATCCGCACTTAGTCAGTTGGCAATCAGTGTCCGTAGGTATGGTATGTGCTTTGCACCTTCGAAGTGCAAAGTACTTCTACAAGACTGGCAGGATTCCAATCCTGTACTCACCCTGGATGGTGAGCAGATAGACGTAGTCGAGAAGTTCGTGTATCTGGGTAGCATCATAAGTGCTGGTGGGGGTGTGAGTGATGAGATCAATGCACGTATAGTGAAAGCCAGAGCGGCTTATGCCAATCTGGGCCACCTTTGGCGCCTTCGTGATGTTAGTCTGGCTGTAAAAGGTCGGATCTACAACGCGTCGGTGAGAGCAGTTTTGCTCTATGCTTGTGAAACCTGGTCTCTCCGAGTTGAGGACGTTAGACGACTCTCTGTATTCGATCATTGCTGTCTCCGAAGGATTGCTGACATTCAGTGGCAACACCATGTCAGTAATGCAGAGGTTCGACATCGTGTGTTCGGGCACAGAGACGATAATGCAATCGGTGTCACCATCCTGAAACACTGACTTCGGTAGCTTGGACATGTTCTACGAATGTCGTCCCAGAGAATTCCACGTCGTGCATTATTTGCCGACTCTGGGACTGGTTGGGAAAAGCAGAGAGGTGGTCAGTGTATGACATGGTGTCGTGGTATGAATGAAAGCGGCAAAGGACTGGCTTCTGTTGGTCCTTCACGACTCCCTGGTTGGGGTCTGAGAGATGGTGCTACACAGTGGCTAGAGACGTTATCAGATATGGCTCAGAATAGAAGCCAGTGGAGATCCTGCTGTAACCTTCTTTTACTTTCTTCATAAAAAGTGGTTGTGTCTCCCTTACCTGAAAGATTTCTTCTGATTGTACCTTTCCGTTCTCTCGTTAATACCACACTACCTTACACCAATCTCTTCGTTATCGTTCTCTTTTTCTTTTGCGCTCCTTAGTTTTTTTTTCCTATTTCTCTTCGAATCCTCATTGTTTTGTGTGGCGCATATATATTGGCGCTCTCTTGTACCAATGTTCATGTGTTCAAATAAATAAATAAATAATATATTGAGACCTACTGCTGCTAAGGCTGCTGCTACACTGTTCGTCTTCTCCTGCATTTGTTGTTGCGTTTGCGATAGAAGGGCCAGATCATCTGCGAAGTCTAGGTCGTCCAGCTGCATTCTAGCTGTCCACTGTATCCCGCGCTTCCCTTCAGACGTTGACGTCTTCATGATCCAGTCGATCACCAGGAGAAAGAGAAAGGGTGAGAGTAAGCAACCTTGCCTAACACCGGTCTTCACTTCGAATGACTTTGTCAACTGTCCTCCATGCACAATTTTGCACTGTAATCCATCATATGAGTTTTGTATGATATTGACTATCTTCTGAGGCACGCCGTAGTGTCGAAGAAGTTTCCATAGTGTTGTTCTGTCCACGCTGTCAAATGCCTTTTCGTAGTCAATGAAGTTGATGTAGAGTGATGAGTTCCATTCAACTGATTATTCCACAATGATCCGTAGAGTTGCGATTTGGTCTGTACACGATCTATCCTTACGGAATCCTGCCTGTTGGTCACGAAGTTGGGTGTCTATGCAGTCCTTCATCCTGTTTAGCAATACCCTGTTGAAGACTTTTCCCGGTATTGAGAGAAGAGTGATGCCCCTGTAGTTATCACACTTGCTGAGATCGCCTTTCTTCGGTATTTTGATCAGAAGTCCTTCTTTCCAGTCTTTTGGTACTTGTTCCTCATCCCAAATCTTATTGAAGAGAATATGGAGTATCCTTGCAGTTGCCGCTACGTCTGCTTTTAGTGCCTCTGCTGGGATGTTGTCCGGTCCTGCTGCTTTGCCACTCTTGATTTGTCTGATGGCCATGCTGATTTCTTCAATTGTTGGTGGGCCAACATTGATTGGGAGGTCCGTGGGTGCTGCTTCGATGTTGGGTGGGTTCAGTGGAGCTGTTCGATTCAAGAGTTCTTTGAAGTGTTCTACCCACCTGTTTTGTTGTTCTTCAATGTTGGTGATTACCTTGCCCTCCTTGCTTTTGACTGGTCGTTCTGGTTTGCGGCAATTTCCAGAGAGTTTCTTTGTCGTGTCATACAATTGTCTCATATTTCCTTCTCTTGCAGCCTTTTCCGCCGTCGTTGCTAAATCTTCCACATATTTACGTTTGTCGGTTCTGATGCTCCTCTTCACTTGTTTGTTTACTTCTGTGTATTCAGCTCGTGTCTTGGCTTTTTCTGCTCTTGTTCGACTGGTATTGATTGCTGCCTTCTTGTTCCTCCTTTCTTAAATCTTATCCAGTGTATCGACAGTGATTCATTCCTTGTGATGGTGCTTTCTGTGACCCAGGACCTCATGACATGTTGAAGTGATTGCCTCTTTGATCTCCTTCCAGTTGCTCTCCACAGTAGTTCCTTCTCCATTGAGTAGATCATGAAAGGCCTGGAACTTGTTGCTGAGGACTATCTTGAATTTATTGAGTTTGTTAGTATCCTGGAGAAAGGCCGTATTGAACTTTTGTGATATTGTCCGCCCCGTTGTCCAGTGCTTCTTGAATTTCAATTCCATCTTGGCGACCAGCAAGTGATGATCTGATGCTATATCAGCTCCTCTCTTGGTTCTCACGTCTTCCATCATCCTCCTGAACTTTTCGCTGATGCAGACATGGTCGATTTGGCTTTGTGTAGTGTGATCCGGTGAAGTCCATGTGGTTTTGTGAATGCGTTTATGTAGGAATATGGTACCACCTATGACCAGTTTATTGAAGGCACATAGGTTTGCGAATCTCTCACCATTTTTGTTCCTTTCTCCTAGTCCATGTTGTCCCATAATGTCTTCATATCCGGCGTTGTGCATTCCAACCTTGGCATTGAAATCTCCCATCAGAATGGTCAGGTCCTTTGTTGGGCACTTTTCGACGATTGACTGCAGTCTATTGTAGAATTGATCTTTAGCGTCTTCATTGTAGTCGTTGGTAGGCGCATAGCATTGGATGATGTTCATTGAAATGCCCTCTTTCTTTGTTTTGAAGGAGGCTTTGATGATCCTTGGTCCATGAGATTCCCATCCTATAAGTGCGTTTTGCGCTTGTTTGGACAGCGTCAATGCAACTCCTTGTGTGTGGGGGGCATTTTCTTCTTCATGGCCGGAGTATAACAGGAGCTCTCCTGTAGTTAGTCGTTGTTGTCCAACTTGTGTCCAATGTGTTTCACTGATCTCAAGTACCTCTAAGTTGTATCTTCTCATTTCTGCAGCAATTTGGAAGGCTCTCCCGGTGTCCCACATTGTACGAACATTCCACGTACCTAAATAAATGGTCGCTCTGGTTGTCAGAAGGGGCATCGTCCTCGTAACTTCCGAAAGAAATTCGGCTTTCATCATGAGGTGTCATAGTTCTTCTGAAAGAAGACCTTCTGATTCCCAGGGCAGAGTTTAGAAGGTTTGAATAATTTTTTCTGGTTAGCGTTTTTTTAGCGAGTTAGTTTTCTACGGGATAGGGACGCTAACCCCATGCCCAACCCTTCTCCTTTTTCCGGGCTTGGGACCGGCAGTAGCCCCCGGAGGGACTCCAGGCGGAGTTACTGAGCAGCTACTTCAAGCTAATTTGATAATCATCAGGAGTAGCTCCAATAGGTAAAAGTTCACCTCAATGGTGGAGCTTTCATCGTTCTTCTGAACGACATCATCAGCACAACCACCAAGTAGAACGCTCTCGGGTAAGATTCTATTCTTTTGAAATCGCAAATACAAATATTGTTTATTAAGTTTTAGTATAAATCTTCAAGAAAGTTTGTCAAATAGTTATAGTGAAGTTCTGCCTGAAGTTTGTTCTGATGATATCGGTCAGAGGAACGATCAAAGCTCCACAACCAAACCATCCAGCTCAGAGAACAAAACTCCACCAAAAAGTTCGCCTTAATGTCTGAACATCCCAAGTAATAAAATGTCATCTTATTAAACTCTCATTTTCTTAGGCATGAATAAGTTTCATGTTCGAGAGAATAGTTTTTACATGTTACATTTAATGGGTTAGATTAATGTGTGAAATTTGAAAACACATTTATCCCGGAAATATTATGGACCCTATTCTTTATATCGTGGGCTGCTGTTTGGGGGCCTATGCTCCATTGGGAGTAACAGGCGAAAGTAAGTAAGCAGTTCGTGATGAAAATCTAATTTCTAACCTCAACCCTCAACTGTAAATCATTATTATAAATCCTCATACTGGTTTATAATCCTCATTTGATCCTAGTTTGGTAGATGAACACTCTCAAGGTCAGTTTAGCGTCGCTCAAACATCACCTATAAAATTTAGTCTTACCGCCCAGTTTTACCTGTAGAATAAATCATACTACTAACAAGTAGTACAAGTGTTTTCTCTAAAAATGTTTGTTTTTTTCTTATCAGATAATTTAACAAATTCTCAACAAATTTATCATGATGAAAATAATTTCCTAAATGAAAGAAAACAAATCACAGTTTTGGAATTTAGCTTATTATTTGGTTTAGGATTAGCTATTCTGTTCTTCTTAATTGCTGCTACATGTGTATTATATATACTTGCAAATAAATGCTGCCCAATTATGTTGAAATTATTACCAAATGAAACAATACTATCAATTAATTTACTTCATTCATTAATTCATTGGTCAAAATGTAAACAAACAATAAATCAGTGTCATACAACCAAGTCCTCTACACAAGATTTTGATTCAATTCAACAATTTATGGAATATAAAAGTGAAACTATTTATTCACCAAATTTCAATTGTCAACAATCATTACATTATGATTGTGTTAGTTTAATGCCATTGAATAAATATAATAGTAGAAGTATCATATCAATGAATCAGATTTATACAGATGATATAATTCATCCCCGTATTGAACCTAATTCATATAAGAAAAGTAAGTGTATTTTGATATTCAGTTATTGGTAAATCCTTTTTAGATACCCAAAAATGATTGACAATAACTTAAGCTACTGAATGTTAGTAAGTAATACAATTAATAAACTAAAAGAAACCAGTTGGGGAGGAATGTATGATATAAGTGGAGTACGCAAATTGTTGTAGATGGTTGTAAATAAATTTTCTAACAATATCATAAACATTATAAACAAAAATGGATAACAGTTTGCAGTGGAATCCAGTTTGAGGCATGTTTCGTCCTATTTGGGACTCATCAGCTGGATGTACTAGCATGAGTTGGTGTTCGCTCTGGGACTCGAACTTAGTACTGCTTGCTTCAAACCCTATCCCAGAGTGATAATCAACTCTGAGATGAAAGTGCATCCAGATGACGAGTCCAAAATAGGACGAAAAGTGCATCCTGAATTTCACTGCTAACCATCATCCATCTTTGCTTATAATGCTTGACAATAACGAGTCAATCTGCACAGGATGCACATATACCAATAAGAGAGATTGATCAATTACAGTCCTAAATATCAATGGGAAAATTCAAGTAAACAATACTATGTGAACTTAATATTCAGTAGTTAACATACTTTCAAATCATTTTAGAGATTATAGCTTGTCGTATTTTTATCGTAATGTGCAATACTAATAAGTACTAGCATCTATTTCTGACACTTAATCCATTTTATTATTATTGTATTCGGAAATTTATCTTAGGTTTGTTTCCTGTTCAGTTTTCTGACTAGCATTACTGATTTTAACACATTATCAAGGTGTTAAATGATTAATCGCTTGTTCTGCAAATTATCACTTATGTCATGTCTAAAGAACTCAGTTATCTCGTTGATCCTATCTTGAAGTATTGCTAACAGCCTAAATATCTCTTGAGTTAAGATTTTAAATCCCATTCGCGTACCGTTGTTATTTTATTAATGGTGCCAATTAGTTCTGTAGATAAATGACAATTATCATGCCAGGGGCTACCGCTCAACAAATAAATGACCTTTTATTTACCTGGTAATAAGGGTTAGATGAGACCAATTCAATACACACTTGATCACCTTGGTTATTAATAAAAACATTTCAGTAAATTTAGAATAGTATGGGTGGGAAGATTGTGTAATTTGTAGTTTCACATTTTTGAGATTTGAATGAAATCAACACTATAAGTGACTAAATACCAGACAAACAGTTCAAAAGTTAAGCAAACAATACAAAATCCTAAGGTTTTAAATTTAAACCTTATTAGGGTCTTGTGTGAACTGTGCGAGTGAATACGATAATGGAACACAAGAAGACTGTCTAGTTCAACCTATTTTTCAATGATTGTCTAACTAGAGTTAGTCTGTAAGATATAACTGCAATTGTTCAAATACATTGTTTCATTACAAGTTAAAGTTTCTCTCTGGTACATTCATTGTAAAATTCATTCTATAATGAAATCATTTTGTTTAAGTATCATATTTACTACTTAATCTTATTAATTTAGACTACAATCTTGAAAGAGCAAATTACCAATTCAATGATAATCAATGCTGTGATAATTCAATGAATCAATTTCATATGAATGTACCAATCCAATCAAATTCTCAAATTAAATCATACAATCATATCAAAACAGAAAGGAATACCCTGAATCTACCATTGTATTTAACACATAGTCATAGTACACAATTCATTAATAATTTACAAACACTGAAAGAATTTAATCATCAAATAACTGATAATCTATACAATTTAAATCATTCATTTAACCATTTAAATGTGTTATTGAATTCTAGAGATGAATTTCCTAATTCGATCATTGATCAAAGATATTTTTCAATTCCAACAACTTCAGTGCTAAACACAAAATTAACTACCATGGAAGATAATGTTAGTCCTTATTTTTCTGTAGTCATATCACCGAATCAAATTGATACTAATCCTGGTTTAAATTCATTGAATAGTCGAAGAAAAACTATTATTCCGATATCATCCTAGTCATTGTGTGAAATTCAACTTGGGATTATTGATGACAATTTACACTTATAGGATGTAAATTGTGGTTTTATCTGATAGATTGTTGTATGCATATGTGTATATATAAAACTGTGTTGGTATTATAGATTGAATGAGAATTATGTGATATTATTATATGGGAAAAATATTTTCCATAAATCTATCTACGCACAAAAAGAATTTCATATCTATGTATCTATGTGATTTGAATGCATTTTTATTTGATTTATTTTATCTACTGACTTATTTTAAAGTAGTATGTTATTAATTTCAAAATAACGTTGTAATGAAAAAGATTCGTTATCTGTTCTATTGATTTTTCTTTTGGATATTATGGCACTTTCTTCAGAAAAGATTATTATTCAGATTTTATTTCTTGCTAAGAAAAGATCGATTAGTTCATTTGCTTCTATAGAATCCTAAACATTTCGGACAGATTTCATTATCACATCAAGTTGAGATCAACCTCCTTATAGATTAAAGGGAAATTCAATTCATTCTCAACCGGTTAGAGCAGAAACCTAGAAAGCCAGTGTTGTTCGTGTCTATAAAGTTCTCTCGGTTGACACGGACAGTTGTTGAAAAACTCAGTGCAAGTATCTGTTATACGTTATTTGATCAAGGAGTAACATTTTCAAGTAATCAATTCTGGGCATGTAAACTTCATCTCCTCGTTATGTATGACATACAGAAAGGATTCAACTTACACTATTGATTACTAATAAGTAATATACTGTAATACATTATCAGAGTTAGGCGAAGAATAAATGGTTTTAGGAGATGAGAAATATATTCAACGATGAGTATTGTCTTCCTTTATATGATTCATATTCATACCAATGAAGAATCTAACTGATCTGTATATTACAACAAATTTACCGTAATTTATCGTGGTCACTATGATTAGAATATTGGCAAAACTGTGCCAAGTAACCATGATCTTACTAACAAAGTACTGGAAATAATAAATATTCCCATCGTGTAAATTAGGACACCTATAAGTGAATAATATTTCCAATTAGGTCCTCATTAGCCTCTACACTAATATGTAGTAATATTCAGATAACTAATTAGAAAATACTAGCCAAATCAACAGAGTTTGTATGTCAATGATAACAATGAAAAGTTTACTGGAAAACGCTTAACATGAGTTAGAAAAAATCTACAAATAGATTATGAATATCAACATGGGGTGGTCGAGATTGTCATGTTTTTGATTGAGATAATGAATCTATCAATGTTAGACCACTATTGAAAACCTGGAAGCACTGGACGACCATTTCGTCCTACTGTGGGGTTCCTCAGCAGCGTGCATCCACGATTTAAAGGGTAAGCGTTCGCGTGCGAGATTGAAGGTCCTACGTTCGAATCCTGAGTGCAGAATCGTGGATGAGCCCTGGTGAGGAGCCCCATACTACGAGGAAACAGTCGTCTAGTGTTCCCAGGTTTTCAATGGTGGTCTAACATTGATCGATTCACAATCTCAATAAAAAAGATTAGAAATAGTTTAAATAAGTTTCAACATTACCAACTGCTCGATTTAGGTGTTTGTGATCATAATCATCATTATTAAAATCTCTCAAATGGTGGCATTATTCGAGCGTCAACAGCTCAATAACAATACCTTGATAAATTCGTATAACCTGTACATACTGCATCATGAACAGTATAAACTACAGAATATATTCTGTAAGAGATTCAGTTTTCCCCCGGTTAATGCACAAAAGACTTATTAATAATAACCTTCACCGTTAACAAAGGGAAAATACAAACACTTATGAATAAAATTCATACCTGTTTAAACAAGTTGTTGGCTAGTTGAAATCAGCAGCTCAATGATTTATGTGTTAGTGCTTGAGGTGAAAGGTACTATTGTTCAAGTCACAGTATGAATATCAATAACTATTCAGGCCGAGACAGTTGACAAATCCAGAATAGGACGGAAAGAATGCTTTGGAATCCATTCCTAGAAATTATCCAACTTCATCAAAGAACACAATTGTATTTCAAATAATCTAACTCATTACTTCATTTATTTTTATAGTAAACATAAACCGTTACTTCCAACTCTTAGAACAATCAATCAAAAGTGGTTTATATTAGTATGTTGACTAACACACATGGTATTAGTTGAATTCTATCAATTAAGTATATAGTGTAACGATACTGAGTATTTTATTTCAATTATGATTCGAGTTTACTATATATATCATTGAATGGTTGTGTCCAAATACTTAAAACCAAACTGATAATGTGTATATATTCAATCATAATGAAAATATGGACTCACTCGTTGATTCAAAATAGTTTATAGATAAAAAAAGTACAAACCACAGTTGTGTTCATCATTAAACGTCAGATTTTAATCGTTGAATTCGTGAGTCGATCAAAGCTAGACCACCATTGAAAACCTAGAAGCATTGGATAGACGTTTCGTTCTAGTATGGGAATTCTCAGCAGTGCACATCCACGATCCCGCATTCGGTATTTGAATCCAAGACCTTCGGGTTTCAATGATTGTTTATTATTATTATTGTTATTATTATTATTATTATCAGCTTTATTCAATATTATATTTTTGGTACAATATAGAATTCTCAGCGCAAAGTATTTCAACAAATTTCCGTTTCGGTCGGTCCTGGTGATAAATATTGAGTGATCGCCAGTTAGATGTTAGCAGCTCACTGAATGAACATCTGAATAATGTGCATTCTTTTCGTTGTATATTGCCAGTAACCACATTGTCTCTTATTGAGTTTTTTGTAACTTTGACAACGAAAGGTTGTACACTTTTCAGAAACGCAGTAGAATAGGTTATGCAATTAATAAACATAACGATATATTAGAACAAAAAAATAGATAACTTGTTGAAATATCTAGACGGCAGGATCAGGTAGCCCAGATGCTCAAGCAGGCCGCCCTTTTTTAGCTTATATCGACTCATGAATTCAACCATTAAAATTACTGCAATCTCCATAAACCATCATTCTGACAATATTAGATTATGAATTCTTGAGGTGTCATAGCTTATATTTAAAAAAGAACACTAACCTTCTATTGGTAAGGTCATCGGTTCGACACCAACTCTGATTAACTGAATTTAATGAGCACAATAATAACATCATCCTATATATAAATAAATTAGCTGAACTATACTAAAAGAGTTTCCTATCCTATATGATTCATTTGACAAAAGAATAGAGCAATACCGTAAATTACTCATCATATTATAATATTACCAATGTATTTTTCATCTTATAGATTATAATCTGTTAAGATTAAACTGAATGATTGAGCCAATCATTTTCTGATATGATCTATTCTTTTCAACTAAATTTATCTCTATTCAATTTTAAACTTTGTCCCATACATATTCAATGATCATTTATTGTGTACTTTGTTATAACAGGATGAATAATGTATGATTAAGAATGGTTAAACAATCGATTACCTGAATCAATGTGCATCATTGTATAATCAAGTGACGACTACTCGACAAAAATGTCTCCTATCCTCATAAGTAGGTAATAAACAAAAGAACAACTAATCATGAATAAAGTTCATTTGAAATGAACAAATATTCGATGTAAAAATACAACGTGAATATATATATTCCTTAAGCCTGTTATACATCGTGAAAGAGCATAAGCCGACCACTAGCATTCTCCATCCAACTCAATCATGAGTAATCCTTTCCAGTTGTTTCCAGTTGCTATTCATTCATTTCATGTCTGCTCCGAAATCCTGGCAAAATACACTTCTTCGTCTTCAGCTTTCAACTTCACGTTCAAGATTCCAATTTAGTGCTTACTTCGTGATACAATCTGGTGATTTCCTCAATGAATGTCAAATACATTTTCAGCATCTTTTCCTAATTTCCTTTTCAACTAGAAGATGGTTTGTTCTCTCACATACTAGCTTGTTGCTGATGGTGTCCAGTCTATCGAACTGGATTATCTTGTGTAGACAACTGTTAATAAATACATGAAATTCATAATGATGTTTGTGGTATTTCTCAAAGTTTCAGCTACATACAGTAGAGCTCACTGTCTTCACGTTCATATTGAAGGTTTCGACTTTGATATTGGTTGACAGATGTTTTGAATTCCATATATTCTTCAATTGTAGGAACGCTACTCTTGTTTCACTAATCCGGGCACTCACATCCCCAACAGATCCTCTTCGTTCATCGATGATACTGAACAGGTACGAGAAGGTTTCCACCTCTCTCAGAGTTGCCCAGTCAAGTGTTATTGGGCTGGTGTTGTCTGTGTTGTATTTCAGGATCTTGATTTTTCCCTTGTTTATGTTGAAACCTACTACTGCAGACAGAGACTGTTGCGACACTGATTGTCTTGACATGCATTTGTTGATGTGTATGGGATTGGAAGGCTAGGTCATCTGAGAACTCCAGATCGTTCATTGTATCCCATGCTTCACCTCAGATGTGGAGTTCTTATTAATCCAGTCAACCACCAAAAGAAAGAGAAAGGGAGAGAGTAGGCAGTCATGTCTAACTCCAGTCCACAATCGGAATACGTCTGTCAGCTGTCCTCCATGCATCACTTGCACTGTAGTCCGTCATATGAATTCCATTTGATGATGTTGACTACTTTCTCAGTAACTCAGTCCATACTATTGAAGAAGGTTTCATACCGTTCGCCTAACCACACTGTCAAACGCTTTCTCACAGTCAAGTAAGTTGATGTATAGTGACAAGTTCCATTCAAACGATTGTTCAACAATTACCATAGTGTCGTGATTTGGTCTGTGCACGACCGATCCTTACGGAATCCTACCTGCTGATCTCGAAGTTGGGCGTCTACTGCGTCTTTCATACGATTCACCAACACTCTGTTGGAAACATTTCGTTCTACCGATAGTAGTGTGATTCCTTTATAGTTCTCACATTTGCTCAGACCTGCTTTCTTTGCTATCTTGTTGATTTATCTTTCTTTCCAATATGTCGGCACTTGTTACTCCTACCAAATCTTCTTGAATAGGACATGAAACATGTTTGCAGTCTTTTCTATGTCTGACTTCATTCTCCAATTGGTGTTTTGTCAGATGTTGCTGCTTTCCTACTGTCGAATAGTCTGATGGCCATCTTGATTTATTTGATCGTTGGTGGAGTGATATCTATAAGAATGTCTGTGTGTGTTGCAACGATATCCGGTGGATTAAATGGAGCTGGCCTATTCGAATGTTCTTCAAAGTGTGCTATCACCTGTTCCTCTGCTCTTGAACCTCAGTAATTGGCTTGCCTTGTTTTCTCCTGACTGGTTGCTTCTAGAACTTCTTTAATCCCTTTCCAGTTTTCTCCATAGTATTTTCCTCGTT